ATATCATCAATAGCTGTGCGAATCTTTAATAATAATAATAATAATAATAATAATAATAATAATAATAATAATAATAATAATAATAATAATATGATAGGAGGGGGTTGATATGGGATCCTAGTATGGTAGGCTGTAGTTAGGCATTGAGGGGAATGGGTGGGTGGGTGTTATTGTTACTCCTTCATAACATAGGCATGTGGCCAGTCGGTCCTCTTTAGAAAACTCTTGGGCATTTTTTTTCCAGAGAGTTACAGAAAGTTATCTGGAAATCATCAGACTTTCAACAGAAATCCAGGTACTCCAAAGATCATTATTGAAAATTAGTTATTGTGAGCTCAGAAACTTGAGACCAAACTGCTGCTGAAATATAACTATTTTATTTTTAAAACAATAAATAAATTACAGTATCATATTGTTGCAAATTCAAAGCCCAATCAGCTAGATAAAGGGAAACTTACTGGTTCTAACTTTTCCTTGAAGATTTGTTTCCTGTAGAGGAACAAGGCGTGGATCATGTTGGCTGCTCTTGCACTTTGGATTTGAGAAGGAACTAGCAAAGAATCCTAATAAAACAATCATCAAAAGAATACTGGTTACTTACACTACATGTACAGTACACTGGATTGTTGTTGTGAGTAAAAACATGTAGGTCAACTTTTCTCCTGTAAATGGCAATGGCCAGTTAATTAGCAGCAATGTTTTCAAGGTTCAAATTGTGTAACCATGACAATAACAGATACTAACCACTCCATAGTAGTTACTGTTGATCATAAGAGGCTCCCTGGATCGTAGATAAACAAACTGTTGCCACCAGTCACTGATCTGTTTAACAATGATGAACACCATTAATGACAGACAACACGTAACATTTATAATAATTCACCCAAACATACATATACATGTATATACACTGTAATATTGTTAGCAAATTTACACCTTCCTAGAAGACCTAATGTAGATAATAAGATCTTCCTAGATCTTCCTAGAAGACCTAATGTAGGTAAAATGGTTGCATCTGCATTTCAAACAATGGTCGCAAATGCAGGGTAGTGCTTATCTTTTGGGTCCACAGTGAGAATTGACTACTGTAAACTTCCAAAAGTAACAACTCCCGCAAAGTAGCGAACCCCAAAAGTAACATCAAAAAAATTGTGGCTGCTAATAAATTCCGTAAGTAGCAGCCCCCCAAAAGTAGCGAGCCCAACCCCAACCCCGACCATGCAACCCCTCCCCGAAAATAGTGGGACCCAGGATCAATAGTATATATTTATTTTCCCAATCAATAGTCAGGTGAAAGTTACGTATGGTAACTTGATTCAATGAACTCTACAACAAGGGAGGACATTGCTTATGCCATGAAGCATTGTGAATGTTAACCAAGTAACAAGACCGTAATAATTGCAGGAATTAACTTTGATTCAAATTAATATCATTTTCAACAGGAGGGTATTAAAATAGACCTGACTACCTTTCCTGCCAACCACTGACAACATGGTCTAGAGATGAAGAGCTCACCTATGTGGCAGCAATATATTATTTAAATTGGAAGAGCCCAGCCACACCAACTATGTATATAACATATTTTGCTCCCCAAAAGTAATGACCCCTGGAAAGTAGCGACGCCCCCTATCGGGAAAGTAACAAGCCCCAAACTCTGTTAATTCCGAGAGTAACGAGGGTCATTACTTTCAGAAGTTTACGGCATTGTAAGTACAGTTCAACCCCTATCAAATGGCCACCCCCAGGGAAATGGATAGTGGCTGCTTAAAGGGGGCTGGTAGTTTAATAGAGGTAAAAAACAATAGAAAAGCCCACATTAAGACTTGATTACTGGCCGTCTAATAGGGGTGGCCATTTAATAGGTGGTTGCTTAATAAGTGTTCAACTGTATTTTCACTGCATGCCTGAAATGGATAACCATCACAGCATTTAATTTTCTGATATCATTTCTAGACCTGGGTGGTAAGAAATGCTGTAAGAGTTAAGTGTCAGATTGTCCAGGAGCACAACACAAATGACTCCAGCCAATATTTAAACCCAAACAGCTTGATCCACAGTTTAGAGCACTAACCCTGACAGCGTATCCTAAAAATCAAAATGCGTAACTTTATAACTCCAGGATTGAAAAGGTATCATGAATCCAGCACTAGAAATGTTTACATGTAACTTAGACACCAGTCTACAAATTATATTAGAAAGATAAAGGGAAACTAAAGTAAATGCCCAATACATACATAGTTTGATGACCACCATGATTTCCAAACCAGGTAACGTTGTAACTTCTTTCCAAGACCATCCTAGAAAAAGTTATATACAGTGGAACCCTGTTAATACGACCACCTTCGGGCCATGGAAAATTGGTCGCATTAACGGGGTGGTCGTATTAAAGGGGTTCTTTAAATAAGAAAATGACTGACTGAGCCTTTTTTGGGCCAGAATAACATGGCTGCAATAACAAGATGGTCGTATTAACGGTATGGTCGTAAGGCGGGGTTCCACTGTGACATCTTTAAGTCTCTTATAGATCGATATTAATACAGTCATCTCCTAATAACTCAAACATTCAGGGGTAATCTAAAAAGGTTCGGGTTATCAGAAGTTTGAGTTATCGGGAGTTGAGAACAAATGTCTGGAAATCAGGAAAAAACAGAAACGGAATGAATGGAAATTAATTTTGGTTGGAGTTAGTGCAAGGTTTGAGTTAGCGAGGGTTCAAGTTATCAGGAGTCCACTGTAATGCAACTGTGTAAGTGTGAAGCTAGAACTACTCAAGATACTTAAATTTTAGGGATAATTTCTCAAACCTTAAAATCAACAGCCAGTTTTTCCATCTCCTTGAACCTTTCTTCACTAAGAACAGGTCTAACTGATTCCAAATACTGAAAAATACACAAGCAATACAAATTGTGATTTATTTGTTGCAATAAAGATGTGTCAACTCCGGTATTCGACATTCATTAGACTTTAGATAACTTACTCTCCCTGTAGTGGCTTCAAGATCTGGAACAGGTAGGTAAGGTAAAGATTTCTCATAGCTGTAGAGAGTTGGGTTCTTTCCACCAAGAAGTTTTACTAAGCCCTGTAATCACAAAATAGTTTTTGTAAAGATGTGTACCTAGGGCCATGTAAACAAAGTTTGGAAAACATCTGAGAATGCCATGTTCTGAACTACAGTCATGTACATGTAGATTTATATGTAGTACAATAGCCACACATGTTATGCCAATCATCCACATCACAATAATAAGATTTAGTCTCCGCATACCAGGAGGTCAATAGAAGCTTCAAGTACATATAGATCAGGAGTTGTAAACAGTCTTGAACGTTTACATGATGTCACATTGAAAGCACATGCAGCTGGGGGAATATTTTCTCATGAATTAATTTTTAACAAAAATTTTGTTAGTCCCTTTCAGTCTGCTACATTTTACTGTACTTATTTAGACGGTGAGAAAGCAAAGTTAGGGATGTAGTTAGCTTTCATGTTCTGTATGACAAAAGATAAAACTAAAACAAACTTACCAGCCAGCATTTGGTTTTTAATGACAGCTTCCTACAGCAAAAGATAAGGAGTTTTTAAAACTATGTTTACTTATTTGTTTCCAGTATTTAAGAGTAAGTTGTACTTTTGACTAACATCAAATTGAAACTAAAATTTTTAAATACTAGCCCTTCCTGGACAAATACTCAAATGTGTAAGTATCTGTAGTGTTCGCATTAAATAATGTGATAAATTCAATGTTCTATGATCTCTAGATACATGTATATGATCAAACAATGTAGCTTGGGCAAAAAGATACATGTAGTTTATTTTATCACCTAAGTTGAGGAAAAATTAAACTTACTTTCCTGAGGTTAGGTGTAACTGCCTGGCTTACTAAAGTACAGACCTGGCAAATAAATCATATGACTGTACTTTAACAAGATATACAACCTTACCCTCTTGGTTCATACAGAAATGCTCTATAACGTAGCAACTGACGAAGAGTGAATTGATGAATATGACCAATCAGCATCCATAGTATTGTCGCACACAACAACACAGCAACTGCTATTACTGTTTTAGGGTCTAAACTATGCCTCCTACAAAAAATAAGATAAGTAGTGGCAACTATAATATTGGCAAGTTACTGAGTACATAAACTTGTGATAACTGGACACTTGCTTGATAAGAGATAACCACTAAGTTTATCACAAAAATGTTGAATCTTATTCTGATCAATATAAGTACTGTATTTTCATGTAGTGCAGCCCCTTCCAGGTATTCAGTCAGTTTGCAGTTAGCTTGAGAAACAAAGAGTGGAAGAAGGGCAAGGAATGTTTTTCAAGACTTGCTACTATTCATACAACATTGTAACAATAACAATAATGGTCCTACATATTGTTCTACTTTAAAACACACCAGTCACTGGCTATCGAACATCGTCTTTTGTTTGAAATCAGGGTAAGCTAACATTACTGTTTAAAGACCTCTGATCAAAATATGCTAGCAAGTGCAAACATTTAACCTTGACAGATTAAACTCTGACAAGTAACTAATTCAATTATTGATAGATGTTCCTACTACATATGTAAGGAGAGGGTATTCAGGAATGTGATAATCCAGGAGTGAACGAAGGTAGCAGGAAGTGTATTGGAGGCAGAATAAGGAGGGCAGGAGATGGGACTCCCAAGGTCAATAGAAGAAGGGGAAATAGGAATAAGGAAGTCTATATTAACTTCTTCCCTGTCCAAGTTTATCAGAACGTCATCCCCTACACCTGCTTTCCCCCTCACCTCAAACCTCCTGTCCCCTTTTCGGTGTGTGCTTCGATATCAATGTAATGCTTGTGTTACACTAAAGACTTTACATCATCTCTTTTTATTTGTATTTATCTGGCCAACTAAATAATTAGCAAGTGTTAAAAACACTTTTATGTATTCTTTTTAAGAAAATACACTAGCCCCAAATTCTGAGTTTGGCTCAAAGAATCGAAAGTTGTTCCTATGTGAAAACCTGGTGATCGTCAACTGAGGGCAAATTTCTTGACGCTTATCGTAATCACCTGGCCACCTGATATGTAACTTTTAATAAATTGATATTGTAACCAGAAAATAATAGCTTTTGTCCAGTTTAGCAAAACAAAAAGGCTTAAAAGGAACGATCCCCTATAAAGAACACATAATCATGTCCGTCATGAGCTTAGCCGGGCCATTTGAAATATTCAACGTAAACGAAAGCATATCTCTTAGCGAAAAGAACACCCAAAGAGAAAAAATATTAAAGCTTAAACTTATTTAAACTTATAATATCAGCAAATT